TCCAGCACCTCGGCCGCCTCCACACTTACCGGCGCCCATGCTGAGCTCCCCATGACGCGAGGTAGCCCGGCAGGCGGCGTGGCATGAACCAGGAGCCTAGGCCGAGGTAAGGTGTGCGCGCACCGCCAGGCTGAGGGGTGGAGAGGGGAGGGGGCCAGGCCATGCTACTGCCGCGGCCACAGTGAGGAGGCGGGGAGGGGGCTTGGGACAGCACCGCCATCTCCAGGGGAAGGCTTACATAACAGCAGCCCCTTCCCCTCTTCACCCTGTGGCCGCCGGGCCTGCAGCCCTGCCAAGCCTTCCAGAGCCCATCGCCCCAGTGACTTGCCCCAGCGAGGCCCACTTCTCACATGCAGCACGGTCAGGGCTATGGGTCAGTGCCACCGGAGCCAGAGCCTCCAAGAGGATGCAGAATTGCAGGCCCCCGGGCCCCACCCTGCCTGGCTAGGCTCTAACCTGGACCCCAAACCTCGAGCCCCTGGGTCTACGTGACAGGTGTTAGGTGCATCTAAAGTCCAAGGGGAGCCATATGGGTAAGCGGCCAGGGGGCTGGCCCTCCTCTGAACACCTTCTGGACATGTGCCTGTATAAAGCAGCCACCCACAGAGGGAGGCAGAAGGAGTAGGCTGTGGCTGGTCTTGGTTCTGGAGGAGAGCCTGGGCCCTCAGACTGGGGAGTGGGCACTCTGAGGCCCGCAGGGCAGAAAGCTTGGGTCTTCCGGGGAGTTTGGGGGAGGGGGAGGGTCCCTCACCCATCGTCCCAAGAGAAGGTTGTGATGGTTGGAGCCTTTGCTCCCCAGCCTGCAGCCCGTCCTGGCCTGAGCAGGCAGTCTGACCTCAGCAGGGGAGCAGGTAGCAGATGCTACCTCACCTGCCTCCCTCTCTTGGGTACCTCTTCCATACCTACTTACCCATGGTCCAAGACCCATTGACCAGGGTCAGCTCGGGCCTCCCTAGTGCCCCACAGGGCACAGATTGTCTCTCCCAGCGCACCTCTTTGATGAGGTGCTGGACGGCAGCCTCAGAGCCGAAGGCTTGGGCTGGCTGAGCAGGGAACTGAAGGGTTTGAGGTGTCCCTGTGCCAGGGCAGGGGCCTGATAGAGCCAGAGGGGGCCACACAGCTGGATGAGGAGCAATCTGGAGGGAAGGGAAATTCAAGGCTCCTATAAACATGGGTGGTGCATAGGGACTCCAAGATTCTGCTGCACCCAGTCCTGCCACCTCCAGTACCTAACGTCACCTTGGAGCCAGCCTATAAGTTCAGCATCTCCATCACTGGGCATGTACACAGGATAGCCCACATCCACTTTGGGGGCACCTGTACTATTTTTTCTGAGGCCCACTGATGAGAGAATAAGTTCCCCTAGGTGGGAGGTACCTGAGTTCAGAGAGCCCTGTACTGCTGAAAAGCAGGTACATTCCCTTGAGATGGAGGAAGGGACTCCTTGGCTGGTCCTGCTCAGCTGCCTGCAGACCCTGTCTTCTCAGCTGTGGGCACTCCTTGCTGTGCCTCCAAGGCAGGTGCAGGGGCCTGGTGAGAGTGACTCATGGTCCGGTAAGAGCCAACGGCCACTCTGGCTGCAGAGGGTGCAGGAGGGCCACGTTATTTCACTTGATAGCTGCTCAAAGCAGTAGGCACTAGGAGCCTCATCTAGGCTTGAGGGCTATGTTTTCCAGTGATGGGTGCCAAGATAAGCCAGTTCCCACTACCAAGTCCTGCTTAGCTGAGCTGCTCTGAGTTGGGGCACAGTGTTCCAATCTGCTGGGGCATCAATTTGAGTCTCTCTGGAGGCCTGTGTGCCCCTGGGACAAGGGCTTCCCCATCCCAAAGCCCCTGTGCATGCCCTAAGCAACCGCACCTGGGGGCGGGAGGGAAGCTCTGTGTTTGACATGTGCAAAGTGGCAGGGATATGAATGTGCCTGAGTCACAGGGCTGTCACAGAACGTGTCAGCCTGCACTTCGCCCCCAACTCCATCTACCCCGTTGTCACCTCAGTCCCTGGGGCTGCCACCGCAGACTGAGCCTGATGTACAGATTTCTGGTTACCCATGCCTTGCGCATCTCCAAGGTCCTCAACCGGCAGGAGAAGATGGTCAGTGAAGGTTCTATAGAGGCCAAGCCATCCAGCAGCCAACACAAGCGTAATGATCACAAAGATTAGGGTATCAGGACAGGCTTGGTGGCACCTGCCTGTAATCCCAGTACTCAGGAGGTTCAGGCAAGAGGATTGCTGAGAGTTCGAGGCCAGCCTGAGCTACGTAGCATGACCTTGTCAAAAAAAAGAAAAAAAAAAAAGATTAGGGCATCAGAGATGGGGATGGTAGCGGGCAGGTAGTGTGCACCCTTTGAAAGGAGAGCAACATTATGGCAGGGACCCTGCCAGGTGAGGCCCTGGTCAGAAATAATATTACCCCGGATCCCAGAAGCAGAAGAGGACAGAGAAAAGGTCTACAGATGTACATGTGCCAGGGGCACAGGAATCAAACAGCCTGGAGATCTTGGGGCAAACAGATTTTTGTGCAACTTCTGGAAACTCACTCCCTGAGTCCTGCTTTTCCCACCCTGGTTGGGCAGTGTGTGGAGGGCAGGACCTCTCCTGTGCCTCCCTCCCCACAAGTTCCTGTTTCCTTCCCTAGAGTCAGGCCAGACTATGGGAAGTGGAGAGCCACCCTTCTTCGCCCTGCCGCTCCAGAAATGGGACTTACCAGAAAAATAGACACAGGTGTCTTCTCCCCTTGGGGTCTGAGTATTCCAAGGCCTAACTTAAGCCCAGTGGTCTTGGGAGTCTTCCCAGTGACTCTGGTACCAACCCCTCCCTTGTGAACACTGACCATTGTCACAACTGGGAATGAGTTCTTCCGCTGTACCTCCCTGACTGCCAGCCTCTTAAATGGGACCACTCCACGCTCAAGCCTCTCAGGCCTCTGGCAGCTGCGTCCCTTTCTGCAGTGGGCTACCTTCTTCTCACTCATTCATTTGTACATTTTGTTCATCCATCCGGCAACACTCAGAGGCCCCACATCCATGGTGCTGCCTGTGCTCAGCGAGTCCCCAGGCCAGGGGAAAAGGTAGACAGTGATGACAACCTAGGTGAGGAGTGAGACCCTGGAAATGCCTTCTCACATACAGGATGGGGTCCTGGTGGGGAAGCAGGACGGTGCTCATTCAGCACTGAATAGAGAAGTAGGCACTAGCTGAAGGAGAGGAAGCCCTGGAGGAAGCAGGGACCAGATTGTGCCCAGGTAGAAAGGGATCCGAGACCAACTTAGTTTCTCTTGTAGGCTCAGTGTGGCTCTCGGTGGATGGTGGCCTAGAAACAGCCAAGGGCTTAGTTCTCCCAGAAGTCCCCAGGGCCCATGGTGTCTTCAGGCCTCACAATGAGTCCTCTAGGTAGAGTGCAGAGGTGCAGTTAGCTCTCCCCAGGGGTATCCTGACCTGGCTCTGGCTGGGGCTGATGGGGACAAGAAGAGTAGTGACCACTGTCTCTTCCCTGGGGTCGGCCCAGGGACCCTGAGTGCTTTCACAGACTATCGTAGTATAGGACTGCTTCAGAATTCTACTCCAAACTGTCTATAACACAGCAGGGCTAGGGCTGAGAATTATGTACACTGGGCTTTACACTGAACTATAGGGCATTTTGTTTTGTTTTGTTTTGTTTTGTTTATACCAGGTATTGAACTCAGGTCCTTGGACTTGCAAGGCAGGTGCAATGCCACTGAGCTAAATCCCCGGCCCCAGGCTTTTTTTTTTTTTTAAATGTATTTTGAGACAAGGTCTTTCTAAGTCAAACAGTTGCTCAGGTTAGCCTCAAACTTGTGATCTTCCTGCCTCAGCTTCCCTGACTGCTGGGATTAGAGGTGAGTGCCACCATCCCTCGCTAAACTTGGCCATACTTTTCAAAAGCCTCTCTTCCCCAAACTAGTTCCCCTAATGGGAGAGGCAGCCCCAAGTAGCCTGGCAGCTGCCCCTTCCCCTCCTGGCAGGAAACTGATCAGGTCTATGGATCCACCCTGGTTGGAGACAGCAGCAGCAGCAGCAGCAACACTACCGTACGGACTCGAACAGGCCCTTGGTCATTATCTGGCCAGGTCCAGAGCCAGGTGGAGGTGCCCTTGTTTGAGTCACTCCCTAATTGGGAGGGAGGTTCCAGTCTCCCACTGTGAACTCCTCCAGTCCTCAACCCTTGGGCCGAGATGTGGTGGTTTCCACGGGATGGGGCCCAGGGCCTCAGATGGGGTTGTGGGGTGAGGGACAGCTGTGCCTTCTTTTCACCAGCCCAACCCTAAGACCTAGAGGGAGGGTAAGGATGGAA